TTGCTCGGGGTATCAGTCCCGATTTATATACGCTTGAAGCAGCTCTTAAGCGATGACAGAGATGTATATGTGCTTGCGGACACAACATATGGAAGGTGAAATTACTGAAATATATATACTGCTTACCGGCGCTGATCTCCTTGCAGCTGTTGTGTAGACGAGGTCGCGGCCGCCCATATCGACGCAGACGTCGTTGTGCACTATGGCCATGCATGTCTCAGTCCGTAAGTATCAACTCTCGTGGTAACCAGTGATTTAATTGACGTGTTTCTAGGACCTCGCGACTGCCTGTGATATACGTCTTTGGAAAGCGAGATCTCGATGTGGCCGACTGTGTCGTCCAATTCTCCGATACCGCAGGGCACCATTTTGAGAACCCCAATACCAAATCTGTGCTTCTAGTAAAGACAGATGTATCTTATGCGCATCATATAGGTAGGCTAGAAATTTGAACAGTAGATTCGATGACTATAACTCAGGTGTATGCAGGTGCATTGAAGGCTGCGCTGGAACAACAATTTCCGTCGGTTGAGATCATCGCGCCCCCCACTCGCAGCAGATACACACCACCTTTGGCTTCGTCCACACAAGCACCCTATGCTCCTGCTGATCCTGAACAGCCATCCGAGTCTTTGCCGTCCCCTGGGGTAGGGCCTGGCTCGCCCACCACAGCTGAGACAACAGAAGTCGAGACCAAGGATCATTCAGCGGAGCACTCGGTCATCTTGTACATTGGAGGCGAAAGTCTCGGTCTTACCAATTTCCTTCTAACGCATTCGCAAAGTGAGGTAGGCCAAATTTATTTAGCTGAGCGCATATACCTGATAAGTGTCCTTTGTAAATTAATAGGTTGTATCATATGATCCTCAAAACCGTAGTGCACGCAACGAGACCGGAAGCGTCAACAAACTCTTGATGCGTCGATACGCAACCATTCAAAAGGCGCGGGATGCGGATGTGTTTGGCATACTAGTAGGGACGTTAGGTGTAGGTGAGCTAGAAAGCTTGGCTGTGGTGGTCATTATCCTAAGCTCTTTTTTGAAGCATCATACATCCATCTAATGGCTCATCTTCGTCGCATCCTCTCCAACGCGCAAAAGAAGTGCTACACTATCAGTGTTGGAAAGCTTAACCCAGCTAAGCTAGCTAACTTTATGGAGATCGAATGTTTTGTCCTTGTGGCATGCCCGGAGAATAGTGTTATTGATTCTAGGGTAAGTCTGAATCCAAGGGATGGGCTGGACGCCAACAAGCCGAAACTGGGATCTTAGGAGTTCTATCGACCTATCATTACTCCGTTTGAACTAGAGGTTGCGCTTGGGCAAGATCGCAGTTGGACTGGGGAGTACATTTTAGATTTTGACCATATTCTAAAAAATCAGGGGAACCAAGGTAAGAGGGGGGTTTAGTTATAGCGTTCCGTTACGTCTAACGGGTTTTATAGAGCAAGAAATACAGGAGAGAGACCCAAACGAGGATGAGGACGATCCAGACCGACCGTCGTTTTCCCTTATCACGGGAACGTACCGACATGCGAAACGCTATGGAGACCTTCGAGGCAATTATATCCTAACTCCTAATGCCTTTATATGTTGACCATCCCAAAATTTCAGGCAATCAGCTGGGAGATTCATCTGGATCGGCGATAGCGTTAAGAAACAACGAAGGGACATTGTCTCAAGTATCCACAAGCGCGGCTGGTGAGTAAACTGCTGGTCCCTTGTATTTCAAGTTAACAGCAGAGTCTGCAGGCGAGTTTTTACATGGTCGCTCCTTCCAGGGCCTCGAGCAACGGCTGGGACAAGACGCTCCATCGGTGCTCGAACAGGGCCGCAGTGGAATCGCCAAAGGATACCAGGACGTTGATCATTCTCCCGGGTCATGAAACCATCCACTGAGCACCCATGTAAATACCAAGGAAAATTCTTATCCATTGGTCATATCGTATTACAACAGCAACAGGTAACTCGGGTTGGGGGAGACAATGAATGCTAGGGATGAGTGGTTGAGTAAAAGTGCACAATGGAACGAAACCCGGAGATTCACAACAAAAAGCACGATAGAAAATAATGAGGAAAAGTTCAAACAACCGTCCGACGTTCTGAACCGACGTGCAAGAGCAAAAGAGAAAAGGGTTGCATACAGGAAGGAAAATGACTGCTATCGTCTCGACGACAACGTCCTGGTCACACTCTCACCAGCTTTTGCAGCTCCGCGCATAAAGCTTGATTTGGATCCAGTCTTGGCACTTGCTCCTACGACCCGTGTACTTGTGCTCGTACCAGCCTTGGCAGCGTTTCCGGTGGCGAGCTGTAACAGTCCGGGTACTTTCTTAACCTTGGTTGAAGATGCATCCGTCTTGCTTCGTTTTATGAACGGGCTTGGTAGATTCTCTTCGTCTGCCATGTCGTATACAGGTGCCGGCGCCGCAACCCAACCTGTTACCGGATTAGCGGATACTCCAATCGGACGAGCGGCAGGTCCAACGGTTGAGCGACGGGCTGGTCGAGGAGGCTTGGGTGCCTCGCCTTCCGATGATGATTCCAAGGCGGAAGAAGACGCGGCTTCGCCCAACTGAGGGGCACTCAACGGTCGGTCGTCCATAATGGTGGATGCCGACGCCATGATAGTTGAGTCGGCTGCTGATTTCATCGGGGTTGGGATAACTGTTCCAGAGTCGGTGAGCACAACACCACGCATAGCCGAACCGAGATTTGTCATGCTCTTTGAAGCGAGCCGTTTAGCCAGGGGCGTTTGGTGGTTCTTGAGTCCAAACGCTATATTCGAAAACTTTTGGGCAGGTCTACTGGGCGTTTCGTCGTATGACATGTATCGCGTGAGGGGAGGCAATGCTGCAGTGTTTCTAGATTCCCTTGCGAGTGGTTAGTTTTCCAAGACCGGGGACAACAGCATATGTTTAGACTCACTTTTGCTCTTCCAGAGGCTTCTTGGTTCGCATCTCTACGACTACAGCAGCAGCGGCCTCCTTTCGAGCATCCAGTCGTTCCCGCTCAGCCTTCATTTCCTCCACCTGCTCTGCAAACGCCTTTCGCACACTCTCAACCTCCTGCACAAACGCCTCCTTTTCCCGACTAAACGCATCACGTTCTGCGGCCAACGCAGCGCGCTGACTCTCGAATAGCGCCCTCTCAGCGTTGACCTCTGCGCTCAACGTAGCTCGCTCGTTGTTCAGCGCCAGTCGTTCGGCCCCCAAAGTGGCTCGTTCAATGCCGAGTGCATTGCGTTCTTCCAGGAAGGCGTTACGCTCTTGAGTAAAAGAAAACTGGGCCGCTTTCAGGGCAGCACATTCGGCTTCAAATGCGCTCCGGTCAATTTCACTTGCTGCAGCTGCTTCACGTTGCAGGAGCGCAGCCTCTCGCTCAGCGACTTCCCGCTCTTTATTCATGATCGCAGTTTTACGAAGGCGAAGGCCTGCTGTTCTGTTGTAGTTTGAGATATATTAGCAACAAGGGGCGACAAGTTGCAATGGCAAGGCATTGACCCACAGTTTTTGGGCGTCGGTCATTTTGCAGGCAAATTCAATTCGCTCGTGCTGCAAGAGTTGCTGGGCCGAGGGGCGCATAGCAGGCTGTGCAAATACAAGAAAGTTTAGTGACGCATAAGCGTCTGAAACACGCAAACTCACATTGACGTTGAGCATCGATTTGATGACGTTGCTCAGGGCAGACGAGTAGCCCCGGGGGAGTGGAGGTATTCGACCTTGACGGATCGAGAGCGCTAGTTCTTGATGCGTTTTTGCTTCGTGAAACGGCGGGCTGGGTGGTGTTTTAGGCAGGGCGAAGGCTGGGCGACGCAGAAAGCACGTACTTTTGGGCACACAGTTCGTAGATTAGACATCCCAGACTCCAGATATCCGATTTAGTGTCATACTGTTTCTCGTTGATAAGCTCGGGAGACATGTAGTAAGGAGTCTGAAACTACAATTAGCTTCGGAGCAGGGTTGATGTGGGAACGCAACATACTCCAACGTAGGTCTGAGTGAACGTGGCGTATCCAATCTGCTTGGCCAGACCAAAGTCTCCGAGTTTGACATATCCGTCTGCATCCAAGAATACGTTTTCGGGTTTTAAATCTCGATGGAGGATTTGTTGGGTCGGTCGTTGGGGTTGGCCGTCTCCTGAACTTTTAGAGTTGGGGAAATGGCAGTGATGAAGAGCGAGGAGGATTTGAGCAAAGTAGGACCAGACAGTGTCTTCTGATATGTGTTTGCTGTATGGGTGGTGTTAGCAGAGAGGGGGAAGAGCATGGGCGTAGTACCTGCCTTTGCCGCCGCATTTGTTTAATGGCCCCAGACAAATCACCTCCTCCACAAAACTTGAAGATCGTGAGCGAAGAGTATCATTGGGCCGTATCGCACACACCTCCATTAGGATATACAATATCCCGTTCTCTCGGTCCACGTACTGGTAATTGGCGATATCAGCAAGCGCAGGCGTAGTCTCCACGTCGCACTCACTCGGTCATGATAGCGAACGATATGGTCGTGTTTTAGATCTTTCAGAATATTACTAGTCAAGCCTTAGCATTATGCCAAATTAATGTAGGCTCACAAATACTCACACTTCAGCAACAATCTGTTTCCTGTCTCGCTCCGTCATCCGCTCAAAATTGAGCTCTTTTCGAGCAAGAATAGCCCCGTCTGTTTTTCTCCTGACCTTTCGAATCAGACCAAAGGAACCGTTCCCAATGACCTCTCCTGCCTCATAGTCGTCTAGCACTGAGCTCATAGCCAGATGCGGGGAGCTAGGGACTCGAAGCTGACTGCAGGGGGGAGCAGATGGGCAATTTAGTAGATTATTGACGGCGTGTCAATAACTGCTAGGGTGTCGAAGAGGTGCAGGGAGATGGGTAGGCGCGTGTGTAAGCTGGCGTAGAGGGAATGCTTTGACCAGGGGGCGCGTCGGCAGCCACGTGACATGTTGGACCCCATGCACTGGGTTACACAAGAGACACAGCCATATTGCGAGGTGGGATAGCAAGGCACGATGCCCGAGTTGGTCTAAGGGGACGCACTCAAGCGCTTAAGCTTGCTCATCTCGGGTTCATTTGCGTTCAGCGTTTGCTGGCAGGAGTTCGAATCTCCTTCGTGTCAATCTTTTTGCCCGTCCATCGCTTCCCTCTACTCATACGTAGCAGTGCATGGACCTCGGCCAAAGCCATTCAAGTGCTTACTGCACATTTCATGTTCAGATACAAGGCCCAAGCCATTCACTCGCTGCTCCTGACCGACCTTCCCGAACGGGTTAATTAGTTTGGGCCAAGTTTGTTTGAATTGCTCCACCACCACCAAGACCCGAGCACAACGTCCATTTCTACCACCCACTACATTCCCGTATTATGGCGAACGTACCGGAACTATTTGACATAGCCGACCAAATCCAGGAGGATGAGCGTCGTGCAAGCCTTGATCAACCCGGCTCCTCTCGGCCATCCACAAGCACTGCGGCTGCTGCACCTCAGCCTACTCTTGAAGAAGAGGTCAACGAGGTTATTGGGCAATTTAGCAGGTTCTGGGGAGGATTTCAGAAACAGGTATGCTCCGTCTGTGCTCTACCTCTTTACCTGTACAATGTTATATCTACCTGTACAGAGTCAAAGTGTGCTCCGTAGTGCGAGCAAGGACTTTCGTTCTGTCGTAGAGACCGCGCGCAAAGAAGCCAGCTGGCTCGCCACAAAGCCTACGACGGCCCCAAAGTCCCCCGAACCCGAGGCTAGCACTTCTCGCTCCGTCGAAAGCACAAACGAAGAGCCGACTGCGCCCATCTCCGTCGATACCAAAGGGAAGGAAAAAGAAAAAGAAATCGACGACGATGCTGCTACGATCAAATCCAACTCCCCAACTACGGCCACTACCACAACAGGCAACTTCTTCTCTCGTCTCCAGGCTGCTCTCCCTCCGCAGTTCGCCCCTGCAGCTGTCACTGCGTCACTCCAGAATCAACTTACGAGCGCACAAGCTTCGGCAGACGCGTTGCGCGCATCTCTCGCGACTAACATTCAACGTATTCAACAAGAAGGGGTCGCCGGCAGTGGCCCAATATCGCTTGCCCAGGCTGAGAAACTCGCGGAGGAATACATCAAAAATGCTGGGGCGTTTTTGAAGGATGCGGTACATGTCGTTCCTGGAGAGACAAACGAAACACGGGGTGTAGTCTGGGATGGCTCAGACATGTGCGTAGCCATTGATTGTTCGATCTTTTAATATCTAACAGGGCCTCGATGTTACAGATGGATGATGCCGAGTCCTATCGGCACTCCAGCCCCTGCAGCCGACGGGTCTACTTCCCGGCCAACATTGTCTCACTCGGAAATGCTTCTTCGCCGGCTCAAACATGATCCTGAAGTGCTCAAGGCCGATCCTTCGCTGACTCCCTCTGTGAGCGAGCGATACGAAAAGTACTTGGCCGAGACCGACAGGGAAGGACCTGAATGGACTGCGCGCATTCGTGAAGTCATATCCGAGACGTCTGAAGACTCGGATGCACTATTGGCTACGAAAGAGCTGCTTGGTGAGTGTTTGCCACTGGTAGATAGAAATAGATCAGGTCTAAAGTCTACAACAGTCCCTTCGTTCATTACCGAGGATGAATTCTGGAAGCGATACTTTTTCCGCGTATTGCAGATCAGTGAAGATGAGGAGAAGCGCAAGATTATTCTTGAAGGTTCGTGTGTCTCGCCGGATTCACTCGGTATTGTTGTATTCAACTAGGACATTACAGCGCCCACTCAATCTGATGACGACTTTAGTTGGGAAGACGACGATGCTAAACCAGCTCCCTCTGAGTCTTCTAAAGACCAGCCACCAACTACGTCTGACCTCCCGCCAATTCACACAACTTCTTCATCTGCTACCCTCAAAACTCCCACAAACGATCAAGAAGCCTCCACCGCGACTCCTACTGCTCCTTCCCGTTCCGCATCTCAGGTCCTCGTTGCCCATTCAGGAGTTAGCACAAGTAATACGAGCCCGCGTGAATCGGAATCGAGCTTTGACGTCGTTAGCGCAAGTTCAAGTGTTGCTGGAGCCGGCGAGAAGAAGGCTCCGACTGGGGATAAAGCCAAGAGTGACGAGAAAGATGATAGCGATGATAGTGATTGGGAATAAGACTATCCTCATTTGTTCTTGTTGAGTAAGTTGGACAGTGAATATAAACGAAGTTTCTGATGTGCATTCCGATCAAAAACGGCTTGCATTGAACAAGAAAAGGCCAAAAGGCCAGCATACTAAGGTAATACAACAAAATATCGCGTGCAACAATACATAGAATGATAAGACCCGACCCAATCCAAACCCTCCAAGACTCCACTTACCTATAATTCAGACGAGTTTACGAAAATATTGGTACCATCTAGTGATTGAATGCCCCCATCACTAGTTTGTCAATATCATTAAATGCATCCAGAAATCCTGGAATGTCGTGTAAATCAGGCTTCCCAGGGAGTGTATGGTGAGCGCTGTCAGGGACAGGTGTGGGTGTCTTGATCCCCTCATCTGGATCAATACTCGAAGCATCCTATCATAGAATAAGACACAAAGAAGCAGCGGAAACAGCTCAGCACTTGCCTCAACATCAAAACCAGCTGGCTCTGATTGCACACCAATCTCAGCCGTGTGTTTCGGTAACACAAGAGGCAGTTCGCGCTGCGCTAGTTGGACTTCCAGCGCTGCAAACTTTTCCCTGAGCTGCTGAAGTTCAGCCTCGGCACGAAGTTTGGCGGCCTCTGCGTTTTGTTGATTTGCCAACAAATCTTTGATTGCAGCCAAAGCTTGTGTGCATGCATCCTGAGCGCCATCACGGTCGAACTCAGCCTTGCTGAGTTGACTCGTAAGAGTTTTTTCGCGGGCCTCAGTGTCTTTGAGCAAATCCTGCATGCGTGCAAGCTCTTGTTCGGCTGCTTGCAGTTTTTGGTGCAAGTTTTCATTTTCATTCTTAACCTCAGACAATCCCTGTACTATGTCGAGGTGGTCGGAAACTAGTTGTTTGATATCTGATTGGAGCTTCAGGTTGAGTTGGCGTTGATCCACAGTATCGACGCTAGGAGGCGGTACCAATGGCCCGAGTGAGATAGGACTTGGCGAAGAGGGTACTGGCTTTGTGGATGCTAGCAGATTCGGATGAGCAAATATACGCGTATATATGGCTGAATGATTTACGAGACGATTGCCCAAAATCCGGTAAGCTCTTACTAGGTGTGAATTTCGAGCTAGTATGTGATCCAAACGATGCTCTTCGCTCGGCTAGGGACTTGCCGAAACTTTCGGGAGATAATGGCTCTTTCTTTGGTGGGAATGTTACGGGATGACTCTCTCGGGCTGACGTACTCGTCTCGGGGCGATGATCAAGCGAATAAGGCCTGTGTCTTGGACCGGTAGGTATTTTGACCTAAAAGATAACCGTGAGTTATTTGGATGAAGGACAGCAAGAAACGCACTAGTTCAGGCTCCTGTTCACCTCGTAGCGCATGGTACTTTCTTGGTGTATACGATTTCGTAGATTTGTTGACGGCTTTGAGTAGTTCGAAGCTTAAGTGTCTATTCCTATACAAGAGTGTAATACTAACCTATGTTCGCAAATAGTGGATCATTACGACCAATCCCCTTCTCCTTGAAAAAAACCTCGAGCATTTCAGTCGTACTTTCGCACATTCTAAGCATATGGTAACCGTTCTTCCACAAACGGCTTGTGCGATTGTTCAGAGACTGTACTGCCCGTTGTACGGCATTAGTCGAATCAAACAAAACATAGGCCTGTGGGGTTGCGCTTTTCTTTGATGTCCAAGTGAAGATTTTAAGACTAGTCGTCATGATCAGATACCAATCTACCCGAGAAGGACGTTTAACGTACACGCTACCAAATGCCCCGCACTCTGTCTCAAGTTCAACGAGATCCATCTCCTTATTCTTTTGCCTAACTTGCACATGGATTGTGCAGTCATCATAGGGCCATCCATGAGATGTCTGAGGATGCATCGTCGAAATCACAATTATTCTTCCGGCCGTGTGAATAGCTTGTGTATACACAAGATGTATAGTTCACCGGAAAAAGAGGGCTGCGCAAAGAACAGGGAGTTTTTCAAACCTCTGGGTTGCAGCGGACAACCACTACAGTTCCGAGTAGTGTTTATGAGTCAGTGCCGGCTAGGCCGATAAGAGTTCAAGATGCGTTTGAGATCCACGTAGGTCGTAAGAAGGCCACGGGCACTTCTCAAGGAGTCAGGAGAGTGGGATGATCTCACAACTTAGATATGAAGTGGTGGTAAGGTGTACGTTTGTGGTCATGTCAACTGAGATAGTTCTGTTGATGATGGGCACAGCCACTGTAGCATATGACCTACAGCCCCATGCGCATATAACGTCAATCCGCGTGTATAAAATCATTACAAATTCAGGCGGTATACAGGTGATTAGTGGGCTATGTTTAAGCAATAATCGGATCGTAGGTGTGTTCAGCGAGTCTCAACCTTTGTATTTCCGTTCTTCGAATTCTGTTCTCCACCTTTATCTTTAGAATCTTGAACAAGCCCAGGTTCTTCTTTGCCTTCAACCCTTTGAGCTTCAGCGGCCTCCCGCGCAAGGCGCTCCTCCCTTCCTCGCTTATGGCAATACCATAATAATAGCATAAGGACTGCACGTATATCAACAATATATCCTAACACATGCAAGAGTCAACTTACTAGACAGCCCCATACTCATCAGCGCGCTTGTGCCCGCAAGCATGGGGAACTTTGTTCGCAAGAAAGTAAGGATAGTCCTTAAAAGGGTTGCGATACCACCCCCAGTCCCCAGGAAGTCTTTGATTTGAGACGGTTTTGGCAGGGTGCGAGTCTGGGCACCAGTCTGAGGGTTCGTCTTCGTAAACATGGACATCGGATTTAGTTTGCTCGCAAAGGCTGAAGGTTTGGGAGCAGACGGGCCGGCGGCGCTAGCGGTGGTAGGTTCGCCTACAGTGGGGGCTGCTGCCGCGGCCGTCATAGCCGCAAATACATCGGGAGGAATACCAAGTGGGAGCGAACGAATGAGTTTCTGGAATGACGATGGGAGAGAGTTCCACTCTTGGGAGAGGTGCGTTGACGATGCATCGAGGAACTACC